GTGGCAATCATAATACATCGACACAATGCTTATTACTCAACGTAGGCGTTCGGTTTAAGTCTGAAAATTATAATGGAATTCACTAATTTTGGGGTATTTATTTTGCACCTCTATTGCACGCAAAGATATTAACACTGATATTCAACATTCGAAATGAATTATTGGCTATAAAGGTCAAATGACAAAGTATTTATTGCTTGCAAGTGTTACATAGATATATCGAGTTCTTAGGTTTTTTCGATTGTTACACATAGATCATACAATCGCATAAATATTTGTTGTTTTTTTTTCAAATAAACCAACGTTGCCGCGCACTTAACAAGTTCTATAGTCGCACTCGCGACTGACTCAGATAGAAAAACCGAATATACGCTGTTTAGATCCGAAAAAAAGTATCATTTCCATATTTTAAAATATAAATAGTATTACCATGACCCTGTTAGGGTGCTGTAATTCAAAGTAAGTATAATTAATAAAAATAAATATAAAAGAACATAATATTTTTTAAAGACAACTAACATAATTGCAATTTATATTCCCAAAAATTATCTTTCAAAAATTTCTTGCAGGCTATTTTCTTTTCAAATTATACTGCGTTTTGTATGAAATTTATTTGGGAATTCTATTAAAGATTATAGTAGCCATTACAAATGGGTTTAGGGTGCGTACAGATCTGGCGAATGTATTGTAAATAAATGCACCTGTTTGCGTTGCGTGCTAGTGAATTTACAGGTACTTGGGACTCGGCAGACTGAGATGGTAAAGTCATTAACCAGTTCTAGCTTATTTTAAGAAAGTTTTTAATTAATATCCCGGAAGTTGGTTTTTTCGTTTAGTGACGTTATTATTTTCAACGTAGTAGTAGTAGAGCTCATTGTGAAAGAATTCGTCTAATGAAGTATTGCCACCTTACATATTTCTGGGTACTTCCACATGGGACTTGCAAACTTTGTATCAGGGTAATGGGCGCAGTGGCAGTGGCAGTGCCTCTCAGGTCTTTGCGATTTAAAGCTCTGAGTGACACTGCAACTGTTACGGACAGGCATGTAGCTTACCATCAGGCGCACGACTTATTCGTCCCGTCACTTAATATTACAAAAATAAAAAAGGCTCGCTGCATACGAGCATTACGTTTTGCGATCTGTTCACATGCCGTTCGCGCGCCGCAAATAACAACATGTATTTAATAGCACGCATGCAGCACGCGTGCAGCTCGTGTGCAGTATTCGAGCAGCGTGCGCACAGCGCACATGCAGCGCATTCGCCAGATTAATACGCATCGTTAAAGGTCATGGTCCATTTATCGCCTAAGACCAAAATAAATTCAAATCAAAATAGAAGAAAATGCGTGGCTTATATATAAAAAAAAGCTTTAAAAATCAGAACCTAAAATCATTCTCAAGCACTGGCGACGTCACATGAACTTCAAAATATATGCCTGTCGTGAAAATCCAGACAAAAAGGCTATAAATAACTTTGGTACTTAACCTTTATTAATTACAATTAGGATATTCATTGAATCCACAAAAACATTTCTGGTCGTCTAAATCCCACTGGATAATGTCATTACATAAAGCGTAACTGTAAATTAACCTTGTTCGTGTTTGGGCCTTATCTATATAATCGGGTTATTTCTATACATTTACATCATTAATACACCTGAAGCCACAGAAGCAAATCGATGGAACAGATAATCCATCAATTTTTTTGGACTTTTCAAAAGTCGAACAAAGCAGCTATTAGTTATAATGACAAATGATTCCGAGGTTTGAGATTATATGACAAATGATTCAGAGGTATGAGAATAAATGAGATTTTAGATTGTTTCCAATACACAGGGTTCTTTGTAAAAGGCATATATTTAAATGAACATATTAAGTTTGCGAAAGCAACAGACAAAACATCTAGACGGTCATGTTTTTAATTATTGATCCTCTTTCTCTGAGACATAAAATAAATTAAATCGATGGATATTTTAATCTGTTCTGAACTACATATACATTAACTTTGAAAATTTTATATTTGGCCTCAAAACTAAGGCAAATGAGCATTAAAAATAAAATGCAGATACTTATTTTTAAAACTTAATAAATGTTAATTATGGTAACCTATCACAAAGTTGAACATTTTTTTGTCCGAAATAACGTTTGTTCGAATTTCCATTACACCGAAAACCGAATTATAACGAAACAGTTGTACTTCCAGGATATGTTGAATATTTATCGCAAAGACACGATTAGGTTTGGTTAGGTTAGGTTTAAAAGAAAAAACATTTTCCTCTCAAAATTACTTTCGAAGTTATGAAAATTCAAGCAAACGTTATTTCTGGAAAATGTCATTTCGGACTACAGATAGGTAACCGTTAATTATATTTGTATACTAATATTATATTATTTCAAAAATATAATTTGACCTGAAAACATTTTTGGAAACGCAAACAAATTGGCTTCTGGCAACTAATATTAACCTAACTAACTACGCAACCAAGCAACCAAGATTTATTAGGTTAGATCAATATCAAAAGATATACAGGTTGTAAATGTCATCAATCGTTAAAAGAAAAGACCAATAATAAAAAAGATGATCAAATATTATTTTTGAATACCAAGGATTAATTTAGATGCTTAAATATAACGATATTATTACCTCGGATGCAGTACATTTAAAGTAGATCAACGAATATAGATGGAACAATTAATATACATATATATATGAAACAAAAAAAAATATCGTTTATTTAAAAAGTGCCCATTTACAATATGTTAATTATAATCTTTGAGGACCAAATAATATCATTAACAACCTCATAGGATTATGTTACTAACATTATAAGCAACAACTTTAGTTCAATGTCTTTTTACACAACAACAAATTTAACAAGAATAAACTTTTAAGTTTTTCTTGTACTATATTATACTGTTTAGATCTGTGGTAGTATGGTAGTAAGTTTAGACGTGCAAGCGTCCTCCCCAACAAACCTTGCTCCTTGCATCGGGCTGGTATTTGCGCTTGCGTACAGTTTCATCGCCGTTTAGAGTGATCTTTCACCTTTAGAATGGCTCTGCTGCATACCAACTGACCACCTTGGATTCAGTTGACACGCGTGACAAGAAGATTATAGGTGACTTGGGAATTAGTAGAGGCGAAGCTGCAGAGCCTTGAACAACG